GGGCAAAATTGAGTAGCGCTTACTCGAATTCAGCCACAGACAAACTCTTAGCTAGGTGTGCATCGCACAGTAAGACAAAACTTGCCCACCCGAGTTGACAGGCTGGGGAAAATGAATAGGAAAATAGGGAATAATAAGTGTAGGAAACCGTGGTATGTTGTACTTAATCCCGAGTGAGGTTTCCCAAGTTGCAACAGAGTTCCTCTTCTCATGTTCACTGGAGTGCAAAGTGACAGTGCCGCATTCTGGTCGCACCGGACATGGATTCATGAAAGCCCAATGAAAGCTCACTTTTGTCCCAATCGAACTAATGGGTAGTTCGTATTTATTATACGCTACGATTTCTGAGCCTATTCTCGGCACCGGCACCGTCAGCGCTGAAAATTTCGCATCTCGACTACGGGATCTGGACTTAGTTGGAAGTCTAGGTGGCTGTCGGTATCTCGCGAATTCACGGATTGATACACAGGATCAACGCTGTCTCCCAAGTTTACTGGGTTGGTTTTGTCTTCTCGTTTTATCCCGAGTGAGGTCTCCCAAGTTACAACAGAGTTCCTCTTCTCATGTTCACTGGAGTGCAAAGTGACAGTGCCGCATTCTGGTCGCACCGGACATGGATTCATGAAGGCCCAATGAAAGCTCACTTTTGTCCCAATCGAACTAATGGGTAGTTCGTATTTATTATACGCTACGATTTCTGAGCCTATTCTCGGCACCGGCACCGTCAGCGCTGAAAATTTCGCATCTCGACTACGGGATCTGGACTTAGTTGGAAGTCTAGGTGGCTGTCGGTATCTCGCGAATTCACGGATTGATACACAGGATCAACGCTGTCTCCCAAGTTTACTGGGTTGGTTTTGTTCTTCTCGTTTTAGCAACTGCCCTCCGCCCAAAATGCTCAGGCAAAAAGTTTATGTCATTGCTCTTTAAGTTCTCAGCGCAGAGTACTAAGCTCGTCAGGAGGATTCATTTCAAACGCCTCCTACCGTACTTCGAACTGGGTACTAGTTGGAGCGTGGGCAATCGTCAGAGGAAGGTTATTCCACGCAAAACTACCTGAAATGATGAAAGGTTTTGCCCAATAAAAGTGTGCGCACTGAGATTGAAAGCGTGTAAAATCCCTCTAGCCAATCGCTTAAACGGAGCTTGAGTCGCAATTAGGCCTTCTCGGAGGTGGCGATACTCTATGAGAAAGAGGTCAAGCACCTCAAGATGCGTTTCATAGTCTACGAATTTAGGGCCACCAACTATTTCCGTACCAACTCCTTGGACGCTCAGCGAGGTTTACGCCGTTATTGCGTCCTGAGTAGACTACTTGGTCCTCATATTCAAGAGGCGGCCTTTATGTAGACCCCATATTGCGTCTGATTGTGCATGCCGATGAACACAAAGATAACTAGCCTCACGCCTCACATTACCAGCATCAATATCGCCATGCAGTCTTAGATTAGTGGCCATGGTCCCTGTGCGCCAGTTGAATGCGCAGCTGAATGCATTTAACTTGCGGTTGTGGAAACCTAAAGACGCCATCTTTTAGAATTAGCCACAGACCGCTTTGTAAATCGACTACGCAGTTTCCGGAGGTGCGTTTTTTAAGTATGTTACCCTGAGTTTCGTGGACATTTTAAAATTGACTTAAATGGCGCAGAGAAACTTGAACCTCCTTCAGCATACCATCTTAGGTATGGGTGGCGTGCACGAGGCCTGCCCGTCAATTTTGTGTAAACAACTTAATAAGCTAAGTAACTGGACATCGGCTGTTGTGCGCTCACACCGATATGGGGCTCCAGGTCTCTCATAGATTCCTTGGGTGTGTGCATTCTCGAACGTATTTTGGATTATCCCCATGGTTGTTAATGAAGATGGTTGTCTCATATTTTATTATGCCGTCAAAGTTACTGCTGTGTGCTCTTAACGCAGCTTGCTGCATCTGACGTAGCCTTGTGGGGTTTCACACGGCGTAGGTCATCCCTTGGTTTCCAGTGGCCAAATTCAGCCAAATCCGTTTTCCCAACTTGCGTCCAGACTGCTCGCTGACGGCTCTCTGTTTGCAATATCGTGGATATGATTTTTCCCATTCAAACCTGATGAGCGAGTGCACATTTAGACCACGGCCGAATAGCCCGTTTCCCCCGAACTTTTGTCATGCACCATGATCTCACCAGGCGCACCCGATTTGGTTGACAAATTTCTCGGTCTCCAAAAATATCACTCTCTATCCCAGCACCAAGCACTTCTTCAGGATGCTCTTTTAACAGCCTACCGCCAAGCGCAATTAGGATCACTAGGTATTATTCGCAGCCTTATGAATAGTTTCTTACCTTCAGGAAAACTGCCTAGGTCTCCATTAGACCTAATAGTCTACCTCAACCCTTCAACAAAATTGGGTATTGTACGGTTCGATTTAGCTGGTGCCTAAACTACCTCGCGCAAAATTAAATGGACTCGAATATGCGACCTCTACTCAAATCTAATGGCCGTCACTCCAATCAACGTTGCCCCGCACGTGTGTGATGCACCGACCTGGGCACTTCTGGCAGGTAATGCACCAAATCCACCAGACATGTACTTCTCCAATTTTTGTCGATAACGATACCTCCACCCAAGAATATTCGAGCTTTGTTTGGGTTATCACATTCTGGTTGATGGTACCAGTGTAGTGATCTGGCTGCCCAATAAGTTAGTTTACCAAGACTGTGTGGCAAAGAAATGAAAATAGTAATCCTAGGTTGGGTATATAATAATAAAGAGGTCAGATGGAACAAATTCACTAACAATTGTTCTCTAAAATTCGTCTTGGGCCCAGGTCAGCGAACAAACAATAATCCAATTATGGTGGTCCAGGGGTCTTCTGAACAGTTCCCACATATAATAGATTCCGAAGATGGTCTGAAATGTTTTGATATCAGAGTTAGCACATGAGACTCACGAATGACCGCCGCAAGCGCGAGAGAAATCAGAAGGGAGAGTGGAAGCACGTATTCTGTGAAATTGTACAAGTGCGCGTTTCGTAGTTTTTCGTATTCATACAAAAAACGATTGTGCAATTGATGGAATACGTAGTGCTATAATGGAAACAAAATAAAGGTACAAAACGCCACAACAGAAAATGAACTTTCGTCTAAGCTTCCTAAATCCGCATTATCTGTCTGAATTTTTCAGCTTGTGCTCAGCGCAAGGTTCTTTTGTACCAAGGAGGTTTCTGGTAACCTGTCAAAGCATCGTTAACTCGGACGAGTTTATTCGCTGTTGATCAGATGGCTATTAATATACAGGCCCGTTTTCAAGCTTGTGGAACAGATGGATGAAGCACTGGTCGCCCGGGTACCAGTCAGCGTAAAAATGCACTATGGGGACCTGAGACCGAGTTTCACGGTCCACTTAAGCAACCATGCCTCTTGCTGAAGTCCGGCAGAATAATTTCCTAGCATCGCTGATACCCTGGAATAGGGCTAAAAAGATTGGACTCGTACTTCAAACTCTATTGCCCGTCTCTTTTAGTCCAATGGAGACACGTCGGGGCTTTAGAAATTTCGATTCCACTGTGCTAATACTGTGCGCCCTGTCACTAAACAGACGTTTAGCTGCTCAAATTTCTCGCCAGTAGACTGCATGGTTCAAACATTCTGAAGCTTTCTCAGGCGCACAACACCAATGATTCACATTGAGTATGAGGCTGTCCTACGGCGCTTCTCGGCTTTCAGCATGCCTTGGCTTCGCTCATAAAATAATACCTCCAACCCGACACCTGCAAATACAGTATACACGAGTTACAAAGAAATATCCATCTTGACGCCGTACTTAGTAAGGCTGAATTGGTCGGTAACCGACTGCTGTCACTTCACTGACAGTCACTTCACCGCGTTTTTGAAATTACTGAGTTATGATTATTGTGTCTGGTGCGATGGGGATTTCGGGTTATTGTTCTTCCCATCTTCCATAACCTTCTCCCTTCTGTAACTCAGCCTGCTGGCGTTGGTTTACCTTGATCGTAGAGGAATAAGAACACCAAGGAGAATCATTAGGACGAACTGGCCGTTTTCTCATTATTTTTGTGCTGTATTCTCTTACCAAGAAAAAGTTCGTGCCCGGTTTGTTTGATGAAAATTGATGGAAAAAATTTATCGGGTGCTGCTGGATGTGATAAAGTTGAATGAACGCTCAACATCTCTGGAATGATTCCAGCTGGTGGGTGCCAGGCGGTGAGACCTGCAACACGGAAGTTCAAGTAAGCACTATTATGTTCAGAAGACATCGGTGGCATTACGTTGCCTGGTAGGCTCCAAACGTTTGATGCACGGCAAACACACTCATTGTGACAAGGGATGCATGAACTGGACCACACCGGCAAGTGGTGGTTCAATGCGAACAGTTAAAATCTGGAGAATTGGTGTCTACCACAAGTGCTGAGTGCCCCTTACAACGGAAGAATTCTCTCAGACATTCGCAATGATGAGGTTTTGTTAATGGAGCAGTTTTTGTTGATTCATGCTCACCGCTAGATCAAGCGAGTTGTTTCTCGTTATCTGACTTCCCCACGGGCACCTAAGATGCCACCGCTGTGGAGGGGCATCCCTCCTTCTTCTTCATTTCCATTAGGACTGCGGTTCCTGATTAAGGGCTCTCTAGATTAGGTAAATCTAAGAATGTGGACTTGCACGTGCAATTTGGACAGTTGACAGCATTTCGCTCCGAAACGGTTCAGAAGTTACTTTTCTCATTGTAGTTGTTTTGAGGTTTCGTAGAGGCGCATTGCCTGCATCACCAAACCCCGTGAGCTAAAAATTAAAAAAAAACTAGCGCTGTGTCCTCCGAATTCGATGTTTTGAGTGTTTCTGCTATCTTTCGTTCACATAATCTGCATTCTGTCTTATTTTGCTTTCAAAATAATCGGGGAGGGTGTGTTAACTTTTCTAGATTGTTACGCTTGGGCCCGTTATTGGCCACCGATGGAAAATGCGTTTGATATGGAACTCTCGTCTACTTCTTTTGAAAAGCAGAGCCGGATAATTGATGAAAGTTGTGATCCACCCGTTCGAATGAAGTGTCCTATGTTCATCACTAGAAGCAATAACTCCGTACTATCTCGCCTTATCGAAGCTGAAAGCATCGAGGAACAGGATACAAAGTTTGCACCGGCCTGCTTCTGATGGGTTAAGCGTCTATGTCTCGGTGACCACTGGAGTAAACTGATAGCGGTCTCTTGTTGGGCGATAATAACGTGTACCAGTTCTTCACATCCATTGCGAATTTTGTAGCGGAATTATGGACCCTTAAAGACCACGGTGATTGCCGAAAAATTGCAAACGACATACCCAGAGATCGTTTAGTAGTTGGTGTGAGAAACCCTTGTATACAACAGTTTTTGCTTACTGACGGTAACTTAACTCTGAAAATGTACTACGATACTGCGGTGGCACTGAAAGTGGCAGAAAATAACGCAACAGTGCTGCAGTCTGTGCAAGCTAACGTAACATCAAATGGAGTGGATTCGTCGTCTGAGGTGAACTGGATGCAGCAGTAATAAAACAGACCACAATTTAGGTATTATCGTCGTAAAGGCTGTCCGAAGGAACACCGGCACGCGCAAACCGTTTTTTATCGGTGCAAAAAACGCGGTTATCTCGCGAAAGTGTGCCGATCAGCTCCTGGGTTCAAAATTTTCCTGCTGTTAAGAATCAAGCTACAAGGTGAAAAATACCGGAATACATGCAATCGCTTCCATCAAACGTGGTCAGCCGCCGTATGGTGTAAATCTAATTTCCAGAGTGCATCAGTGGTTTTTGAGCTGGATACTGGTAACGCCATTAAGTTGTGCTGTGAAAATCATGCCAAGACAAGCTGGGAACTTCAGTAAGCCCCTGCCCGGCTTCGAATATATACAGGAGAACAGGTTAGGTCTATGTTGACAAAAATGTGAATGTTTATTATAAGTATGTGGCAGCGAAAAGGCCGTATTTATCGCTGAAGGAAACGGTCTAAACCTGTTGGGACCTGATTGGGAGTTGCGAGGAAGTGCTTTCAAAAGCAAGGACCCGAAAGTTTCCCGGGGAGAAGGTGAATATGTAGGTTTCGCCGAAAAACAACCGCGTTTACCAAAGGCTCGGCCACTGCCTTATTGGACGCGGTTAAAGGTCGAAGAAGACCTCAACCGGAATAATGCAAAGCACGGAGTTCTTGGATTGGCTCACACTGGTTGTGCGAATACTGAAACCGGACGGCCCAATGGGAACCTGAAGTGACTATGAAATCAAGACTATCGCCAGAGCACTCGCAGAGCGCTACCCGTTGCCTAAAATTGGAGATTTTTGCACGCGAATCTGTTGATGGAAATATTTCCCAAAACTAGATTTAGCTCATGCTTACGGGCAATTATATTTATGGAGGAAGGGAAACCCTCTACAACCGTCAGTGCCCACAGAGAACTGTTTATATTTCGTCGTCTTACTTCTGGAATCCACTTCACTCCATCCATAATTCAGTGCACCATAAAGAAAGTTATTGCGAAGATACCCAAGGTTTGTCTATCTTGATGATATCCTGATGACCCGGTGTACGTAGAGGATCACCTGCGATAGTTAAATCCGGTACTCGAGCGTTCGAAGTAGTGTAGACTACGAATGAAGAAAAAGGAGTCTTACATCCTGTCCACTAATTTGACTTCTACATCAATGCGGGAGGTCTCACTCTTGTAGCGGGGAAAATACGGCTAATATTAGAGGCATGAAACCAATGAATAAACGTGAGCTATGTGAGATTAGCTTCGCAAGCCTCTGAACACACACTGAACCACCTGCTACTCCGGGAAATTAGCTGGATCTGGAATCATGAGAAATAGCGGCCGTTTTAACGGACAAAACATGCCCCTACGAGTCCTCCGGTGCTTAGCAATTTCGAGTCAATACAGCCCGTTGTTCTTGCCTGTGATGCCTCACCCCATGGTGTAGGGGCACGTTTGCTCGCGGAAAGATTGATCACGAACACCTAGGCCAGTTGCTTACGCTCTACAATGTCTGCCGCCTGCCGAATCTCGACCGCAACCCCTCGCCCACTCAGGCCTGTAGTCGCAACTACGAGCAAAGTTTTCATCTGCCCTGTCTCTGGGACGAGCTCTTTCGTACCCGATGAATTGTAGCTCAAATTTGACTAGCCTGTTTTCTGTTAAAATTTCGGCTTGCCTTTTCCACGATTTCAAATCCGTGTACGGTGTTCGGTTTGCCCTATGTATTAGCACCATGTCCCCATTAACCTATCCTTGCACTTGAATTCCCTTCAAAAGTGTAACCAGTGAATCTGATTAGTTTAAGATTCAACCACATTTTTGAGACGAAACTGGTCGTTTACTCCCAATTCAAATTGTTTATCTCCATCTCCACTGTTGCTCCGGCCATTTGCACAGCTGCCCAAGGTCACCGATGGCCAGCAATGGTTCAGTTTTAGTTCATGACAGCTGGCTATGTCTCTGAACCAGTCAAACCTCCTGCCCGTTGTTCCCTACGAGTTGAAAAAGAAATCTATTATTATCATTATTTCATCGAAAATTTCCCACTGTTTATGATATTGTCCTCTTTTCGTGCAATCCGTACCCCCACGAATCCCTCAGCCACGCTTCATTTTGACTGCAAACGTATGATGATGCCAGACGGCATGCCATCCATAAGTTGGGAATAAACATTATCATTATTATGGTTAATGTCTACACTTCTAATCAATTTTGCATAGCATAGTGTGCCTGATACGGCTTTTCTGACAACGGCACAACTTTACTCATCGCGAATTTCAACCGTTCTTAAAACCAAACATGTTTTATCAGAACCAAACCATCCCGATTCCAATGGCATGGCTAAATACTCGGGGACAACCGTGAAGAATGGATGAATGAAACAAGTCCAGGTCCTCTAAAACGAGTTAATTTGGTTTTTACGACAGACTCAGCTGAATCTTTCGTTCAAGTAGGACATAGGGTTGATGGAAACTTGCGAACTGCGCCTACCTGATGAGCCCCAAAAAGGGCGAAACCATTTGTCGGTTGTCAAAGAGTTTCCAGCGCACTCTGAATCACTAAGTTTAGCAAGCTGCGATATGAAGCGGGTGGGGCAAATAGTGGATACCAGGAGATATCCGGCAGGCTGAAGTAACGACGCAAAAAATTTGAGCAAATTAGATTGGTTCAAATTGTCCAGGTGACCTCGTCTGTTCTGCTACTTCACCGGATCTATTGTTCTGGTCCGTCATTTTCCCCAATCTGCAGTTTCCTCATCACACGCAAGGCCGGATGTCTTCGTCCCTTGATTTGTTTTCCCGCCATCTTCCAATCCTAACGATCTGATATTGCCCCAGCTTGATAAGAGAATAACCCTTAGTTGCTATGTTTCTTTGCTCGAGGCAGGTAAGGGATGATCGTGTCGAAATGGGATGATGCCCGCCGTTTGCGACTCAGTAACTTATTCACACCTTCTTTGTGCTCGCAAAATCCACCTGTCATACTTTAGTTCTAGCTGTGACATTCCTGATGGGATTCCGCCCACCTGTTGGGAATAAACATTATTATTATGCACAGCGGCGAAGGAGAGGACTGGTGACGGGCGGATGGATGCGGCATACCAAAACAGTTCGGTCGGCTTGTTGCGCAGACGTCCAAACGTCCTCCAGAATCCTATCACTATAGAAGCTGCAATTAGAATTGAATAAGTTTTCAGTTTGAAATAGGCGACAAAACTTTGGTACCTGTAATTTATATTGTTGGGCCGTTGGACATTGTGCCACAGAACGAAATAACAGCGTCTGGAGTTTCAGCCGAGACCAACTTCTGGGGCACACATTGTAGAATAGGTGGTGCGCTATTGGCTCTGAGATTGTGTATTTTGGGCGGTGACGATCTGGCATCACAGAAAGCAGCACGTACTAGCGCGTCGCGCTTATTGGGGATCGCTAACGCCACCCATGAAGCAAGGCACCGAGAGCACCTAAGAATATGAAGTGGGAATACATTAAAACGTGTTTATGGGGTATGTGTTTCGAGTCACCGTGTGTTTCGCGAGTTCACACAAAGTCGGTTCTAGTCGTGTCAACCATCACTCAACCGATGTCCACGTTACTCACGAGTCCCCACCTTCTTATCTGCACCCACCATCGTCCAAGAGCTGGCTAATCCAAGCTCACCATTTTATGCAGTAATTTCGCCCCCTAACAGCTGCTCCTGAACCATACGTTTCACGTGTCCTGGGGTTATGCCCAATGATCCGCACCATCTGCTGGATTCCCAGCCAACCCTCCCCCGGGCAGCTGCACCTACCTGGACCCTCCACGAAAACTACCAGTGTAACGGTGATACTACTGATCGGGAGGCACGCGAATAGTATGTGTTGTCCGTAGAATTTCGCTTTGCGTCGACTGAAAAAGGGAATTCTGTTGCGGAATTCGTGGGGCCATTTTGTAACATTTGCTTGAATTTGACCGTCGAATGAGTGGAGGCAACGAATCTCTAGGAAGGCTCGTTCGGGAGAAGATCTGTGTCCAGATTTTGTAACTAAGTTGCAGGTTAGAGTTTTGCTTCCCTGTTCAATGGTCTGTAACCGGTCAGTTGGCATTTCTGAATAAATAACTCCGCAGCGAAGGCCTTCTTCCTTTCATTTGGTGCCGTGACCAGGATAAAGATGAAGATCCCATGGCCGCAACCCTTTGAGGATGGGGATGTTCGAACCTTCCTGGAGGACTTTTTTGGAAGTTGCGGAGGCTGCCGGGCTGGAGACCGATCGGGGTAAGTTGGCGGCGCTGAAGACCCTCCTGATGGGCCGGGCGAAGGCGACCCTGGGTGCGGTCAGAAGAGGCCCTCAGAAGATGGACTGGGCCGCCGCGAAGGAAGCCCTTGCAGTGGAGTTCGACACGCCGGCCGACCTCCAGGGGGCTATGAGGCGGTTCAAGACGGCCAGGATGGCACCCGAATCGGACCGACCGTGTTCTTCTCCGGCCTGCAGCAGTTGTTGGATCGCGCTTTGCCGATGCTCCACGGAGTGTCGCGACACCAGTTGGTGTCGGAACAGTTTGTCGAATGTGTTCAGCACGCGCTCGGTGCCCAGTTGCGGTTGGCACGAGCAACTGGCCAGTTGAATATGTAGGAGCGGTACGTCTTGCACGGGAGCTGCCCCAGGAACCACTGGCCACGTTGCAGTCGCAGGAGAACAGGGATGCTGCATCAGTGGAGGAACTGCAGACCAGGGTGGACTCACCAACCGAACAGCTGGC